TGGAGGTTGCTGTGAGTGTGATGCCACGGCACTCTACCCAGGGGGACAGCTTGAGGCTCTGTCTCAAAAAAAAAAAGAGAACCACCTATCAACAAGGTGAGAGGGAGGAAGAAAAAAATTAAAAAGTCATGGCATCTAGCAAATATGGAATGGAGGTAACATTATGGTCAAGTTGTTCTATATTAAATGCAGTTAACTGAAAAATAAAGGCTAAGAAACAGAATAGTCCACAAGGCCATGGGAAACAGCTACATAAATACTTTCATGGTATGAATGGAAACATTTCCAGAGCTGTGTGAAACAAACTAACAGCAATGCTATATACAGACACTTAAGTTCTTTCAAGTATGAACTAATAAAACTGACAACTTAATGAGGAGTTGAGAAATGGATCTTTTACTTCCTTTTGTTCATTGGTTTTAAATATAGAGAACACACACCTACACTGCTTATTTATTCACATGTTGTGACTGGTCTTGTTTATTAAAAGAAAAATAAGTAAATTTTTGCTATCTCCTTTCAAGTGTTTGCTAATGTCTAAATTTTCTATATTGGGCCGGGAATGGTGGCTCATGCCTGTAATCCCAGCACTCTGGGAGGCCAAAGCAGGCAGAATGCTTGCGCTCAGGAGTTCAAGGCCAGCCTGAGCAATGAGCAAGACCCTGTCTCTAAAAATAGCCAGGTGTTGTGGCAGGTACCTGTAGTCCCAGCTATTTGGGAGGCTGAGGCAAGAGAATTGCTTAAACTCTTGAGTTTGAGATTGCTGAGAGCTATAAGGCCATAGCACTCAAGCCCAGGGTGACTGAGTGAGACTCTGTCTCAAAATTAAATCTATGCTCACAGAAGGAATATGGAAACAATCTATGTAATATTATATATAATAAAGATTTGAGTGTGTAATAATAATAGGTATCTATGAAATTAGAGTTCAGACCAGATTTTGGTAAAGGTCTAATGAAAAGGAAGGATACAAGTTGGCCCTTGATGACTTACTGAAATTGAAAGCTATACAAAAACATCTGAAGTTGAATCTATACATGCTTATTGTTTCCTTGTGGGGGGAGGAAGGAGAGGAGAAAAGAGAGAATAAGCTAGAGAACTCAGAGTATTTCTTACTTAACAGCAGAGTGTTAGGGGATGCCAGTGGCTAACTAGGTTAGGGAGATAAGAATGGGGTAAACATTACAGAATGCCTTAAAGAAAGGACTGAATTTAAATCAGTGGAGACACTGAGTGACTAATATCAGTACTAGAAGCATATAAAATGAATGGAAAGAAAAGGCTAGATGCAGGGAGAATGCTTTCCACAAAACATCTTATTAACTATGTACCCCACATCCTATGCTAAGTGCTTGGGATACCAAAATATATATGGCAAGTCCAGTGACCTCTCAAGAGACTCAGTTTGACAGACAGGCACAGTATATGAACTTCTATCATTGAGGTATGTACAAGGTTTTGTGGTTTTTTTGCAGTTTTTTTTTTTTGGCTGGGGCTGGGTTTGAACTCGCCACCTCTGGCATATGGGGCCAGTGCCCTACTCCTTTGAGCCACAGGGGCAGCCCCAGGAACAAGGTTTTTAACTTTTATTTGCACTTGAAATTCACATGAGACCTCTGATAGATGAATTTATAACATATAAGAGACAGAAATATTTCCACAATGTTCATTTTCTGGCTCGGCGCCTGTGGCTCAAGAGGCTAAGGCGCCAGCCACGTACACCTAAGGTGGCGGGTTCGAATCCCCAGCCTGGGCCTGCCAAACAACAATGATGGCTGCAACCAAAAAAATGGCCAGGCGTTGTGGCGGGTGCCTGTAGTCCCAGCTACTTGGGAGGCTGAGACAGGAGACTTGCTTGAACCCAGGAGTTGGAGGTTGCTGTGAGCGTGATGCCATAGCACTCTACCCAGGGGGATAGCTTGAGGCTCCCTCTCAAAAAAAACAAAAAAAAAACAAAAAAAAAAACAATGTTCATTTTCTTTAAGCTTACAAGTTCACAAGAGAACCATTTCAGTACTCACCATTACAATATTCATTCTGTATAAGCATATGATCATCTTCTGCCCACGCAGAGAAATATCGCACTACGTGAGAATGCTGTCCAAGTACTGCATGAGCATATACTTCTCTCAAAGCATTCTGCCTAGGAGAAATGAGATTAATAGGATGGTAGATCATTTTGATCCAAGCCTAAACTGAATTAATTTATCTGAAACTTCATACAATAAACTTGACTTTTATATCTATCATTATGCCAAAGAACAACTTAGTTTATGAGAGAAGAGGCTAAAACTAGTATGAGCTTTTCTAAGGGCTTCCATTAAAGTTTTGCCAAGAAGAAGAAATCTTGCTGGCCGAGTACTCAGGTAAAATTAAACTCCACATGTTATTGTAAATTCAGACGCTAACTAGAAACAAGAAATTTAATTTAGGCTATAAGATCATTCATATTATTTATCAACAAAAACTAATGGCACAAAATGAAAAGGAACTGATTAAATCATTATGACTTCTCAAGTTAGAGAAAAGTTAGAGAATTAAATTCAGTGTTTGAACACCTAAAATCTATGTTTATAACACCACAGGGGACAAAAAAGTAAAAGACAAAATGTTCAATACATACTCATCAACAGAGCCGGCCAGTGGCTTTTTTGATCGCTTAATGGCATAAATACATCCATCCAGCCTTTTCACACACTTAAACACAGAACCGAATTCTCCAGAGCCAATTTTCTCTAGCTCATGAAATTCTGTAGTATACCGTGACTTCATATTGCTCTCAGTAATTGTAATTCTCTGTAACAAAAAGTGTATCCATCCATATACATAATACAAAGATATAAAACTGAGTTTTTGCTATGGTGATAGGAAAATGTGTGAAATCTAAAAACCATTCTACCTTACGTTTTAATGCTTAACATGTATATAATGTAAGAGTTAGGGGTTTTTTTTTTGGCTGTTTTTGGCCGGGGCTGGGTTTGAACCTGACACCTCTGGCATATGGGGCCAGCGCCCTACTCCTTTGAGCCACCGGCACAGCCCAAGAGTTAGCATTTAAATTTCAGAAAAAGTGAAAAGAAAATAAAAACCTAATTTACCTTAGCAGGTCTTGTTTCATCTTCAAACTCACAATCACTGGCTTCCATATCTTCACCACAGGAACTAAAAAAATGTATTTTCTATTAATATATCTGACATATGTATCAATCTGAGATCCAAACTTTATCTGATACTTACTGGAACTGAATTGTAATGGATAAAAACAGAAAAGCATTTAATTAATTGTATAATCATAAGATACAGCCCACCTGATGAAAATGTTGTCCCTTCTGAGATAAGCCCACTCATTCAACAGAAGCTTGCACGACCACACATACCAAAATTAAGCTTTTCTAAATCAACTCTTTCTACTTGGTCCACTGTTGACAACAGACTTCCTACATGATATCTAGAGTTTTTTTATTCCTTCATCTCTCATACAACTTCTTGCCCACAGCTGATTACTTTCCACATATCTCCTGAAAGTTAGGTAGGTGCTAGTAAAAGATAAAATTTCAGAACAAAAACATCCATACTATTCAGTAGAAACTAAATTTTGATAAGTATACAAAACTAATCTTGGGTCATTTCAGAAAACCAAAATTGAGTAAATGACTTACTCATTCCAGTATGTTCTCTTTCTTCGACGACACTGTCCTGAGGAATGAAGCAACAGAGAATCCGGAGTAAAAGGATTAATATTCACTTGAGGCGTCTGTCGCACATCAAATTCTCTTTTTCCTGATTTTTCTGCATCCATGAAGAGAGAACCACCCCGAAGTTTAACAGAAGTGGAATCAATTCCTCGAGCTTTAGAGAGCAAACTCTACAGAAGGAAAAATAATACTTTCAGATCCAAGTCCTACAGATAATCAACCTTCTCAATCTAACCTTCAACAAGTCTTTTATGTGGTTGAACGGGCAGGTCAACAAAACACACAAGCCTTTGTTACAGTTTGTGCTAAATAAACAGTAGCTAATTTAGGAAGTCTAAAGCTGGATACTACCTTTTCCGAAAAGATAGTCAAATAAAATTTGTCTCTATGCTGATCAAAACCTAAGTTCATTCTTGAGTCTAAAATTAAACAAACCTTTTCAACCCATCCAAAAATAGAAAGCAGCCAAGGAGCCCCATAAAAGTTCTGCTCCCCTCCCCCATCTACAGACGCAAGGCTTTGAAAGCCACCTCCGCTAGATTCCTCCCCTAGCTTCCAGTGGGATTTCGCCTTGGGCAAGTTGGCTAATCAATTTTAACGCCCCAAAGCACCAGTATTCCAGAGGTTTACGATTCACAGTACCAGGAAAACAAAATAGATTCCCTTTAAACGTACATTTTCCACATCAATTTTACAAATGCGGTGCTTAATTTTTGGCAGTGTCTGTTGTAACTTTTAAAGTTTTATAAGTGGTAATCTGCATGCTACTCACTGGCTATTCAAAAATCAGGTGCTGAACACTGACGTCAGTAAGATACCTTATCCAAAGTGGGATGTTCCCATTCATCACACCCAGGCCGACCAAACTAGGGCGCTGCAAATCCAAGGATATACACAGTTTACCAATGCCATGTCCGGGAAGAGGCTTCAATGCTACAATAAGCGCCTGGCAGGCCACCCTTCGCTCCCAAGTTGCGGCGCAGTCTCCCTCCACACCTCAAACTGTCCCCCCATAACGCCACACGCCACGAAACGACAAACGCAGGACTTTTCTTTTCCAAACCAAACTCCTTCTGCCAGCGCAGCCCAAATTACAGGCCCGATCGCGGCGTTTAAAAGGCACCATCTGGCTCGGGAGTGTCGGGTGGCCAGGCTGGCGCCCCGGCGGCATCCTCGCAAACCACGTTACTTGTGGCGCCGCGCTCGGGGCGGCCACAACGCGACAGGCGGCGATTCGTCGGCCACCTGGATGGGCCGGTCAGCCCCTCCGCAAGATGAAGAGGTTCTTCACAGGCCCATTGTTCAGTTACATAATCGTAACGGACAATTCCTGGGCAGGGCCACAAAGAGGAGCTGCCAACTTTTGGTGGCTGCGCAGAAGAGGGAGCCGGGTGCGGCCGGGCGGTTATGTAACCGAACCCGGGCGGCAGCGCGCTCGGCCCAGGCGCCGCGGCCTTTTTAAAAGGCTCAGCCGGCGCGGGCTGCGGGCTGCCGGCCCGGGCAGCTCTCTCACCTTGGGCGTGTGCGGCGTGTCGAAGAGCCGCAGCTTGCGGAAAGTCTTATGCGGCGGGGTGCCCGGGTGGTCCGGCAGCGGCGAGCACGGGCCCTCGCCTGCCGTGCAGCCCGGCGGCGACCCGTCCCCTGGGCCGCCGCAGCGCACCGGCGAGAATGAGCTGCTCAGGAAATAGGCAGAGGCCGGCGACTTGACGGGCGACGAGGAGCCGAAGCCCTCCTCCACCCACGAGTCGCCCTCGGCCCCGCCGCCCGCCCCGTCCACGCCCGGGCAGGCGCCCCGCAGCACCATGTCCTCCTCCAGCTCCCCGGGGCTGCCGGGGGCCGGGCCGGGCGAGCGGCGGCGCTCGGGCCCAGGCTCCGCGGGGCTCCGCGAGGGCGGCAGCGGCGAGTCGGGTTCCTGAAAGGCCGAGTCCTCCCCGGTACTGTGGCCGCTGCCCTCCTCCTCCTCTTCTTCTTCTTCCTCTTCACAGTCGCTGCAGGGTGAGAAGATCAGCTTCTGCCGCAAGGTGCAGGCGGCCCCGGCGCGACGGGGCGGCGGCGGCTGCTGCCGGCTCAGGAAGCTCATCGCGGCCGCGGGGCCAGAGCCGAGGACCGGAGAGTGGTAACCCGCGGAGTCCAGGACACTGCTGGCCCAGGGGGCGGGTCCGCCACGTGCGACTGGGCGCGCCGGATCGCGGAGGCGGCTGGCCTGCGCTGCGGCAGAGCGCGGATTCGGGTTGCCCTGGACTGCGGGCAGCGGAGGCGGCGGTGCAGACTGTCCGGCAGAGGCGGGGCGGCCCGGGCGCCGAAGCTGAGGTCTCCGCAGATCCGGCCGCAAGTTCGTGCGCGGCGGCTTCCCGCGACCGTTAACCACGTGAGTGCCCATCCCACCAATCCACGCCCTGCCCTGGGTTTGAAAAAACAGGAGGGCGCGACGTAGCCTGCGGGGGAGGAACTAACTACGCGATTTTGGCGCGAAATGGATGGCTCCGCCTCCGATGGACGCCGTACTGGGGCGCGCCGCGGCGCCTCGGGCCTATGAACTAGTATGGGCGGCGGGGGACCTGGCCCAGCACCTCCCGGACGGGGCTGGGTCCTGGAACCGAGCAGGCCTTCTAGGAGGAGCAAAAAGAGCTGGGCTTGCCAAGGCTGCCTCCTTGCTGCTCCCCTGGCTCCCCGGGGCTTAAAGCGGAGGTAGACCGCTGGTGCCTTAGTGTCCCTGTGAGCCTGGAAGATCCGGAGATGGCGTGGCCTTCGGCCATTGCCCCTAAAGGCCACCTCCGGCCCCTTGTCCCTGCAGGGCAGGCGGCTAGGGCTTTGGGGGCGTGGCACTGACAGTCACGTTCCCAGGTTGAGGTCTGAGCCCTCACTGGTGACGCGGCCCTGGTGACCTTTCTGAACTGTGTGACTCTGTGCTTAGCTGTCGAGGCTAGGGCGCCGGCCGAGAGGGCAGCCTCTGGACCTCGGTTTTCCCCGCGGTGGCTGTTAGGGCAGGGCAGTCAGAGCCGCTGCAGTGTGAGCACCGCCGGCCGACCCGAGACTTGACCACGGTGAATAGAAACTGCAGCACCTTTGATCCAGAGTGAAACAGGTGCTCGCCGCGTGACATCGATGTTGATACTTGGCCAGCATGTGTGCTCGGGTAGACAAAACTGACGAGCCTGGCTCGCTGCGAACTTGAATGTAACTTAGGAAAAATTTCCCCCAGTGCGCACTGTGCAACTTAATACGCTCCTTATTGCATATACAGGTTTCCCACAATTCTTATGTTGTGAATAACCCGTGATTAATGTTATTCCCGCTCCTTTTTTTTAATTTTTTTATTCTTTAGGGTACATCCGTAGAATGGGAACTACTGGGTCAAAGGATAATAAACTCCTAAACTCTACAGAAAAACAATTAACAATCTCACTAACTGTGGATTAGGGCACACGCTGTGAATCCTGGACACCAGTGGGTACTTTGTTAACGTAGTTTTGTTGTTTTGATTCATGTTATTGGACTGTTGTCACGGGTTTTATGGGCATTTACATTTGCTGCTGTTGTCTTTTTCTTACTGTACTTCATGTATATTAACATTAAAAATGTTAGAACATTTTTAAAAGCTAAATGACTCAAGCTGAATTTTTTAAATTTCATCAAGCTGAATTTTTAATGAAAACACATGACAAGGGGAATTTCCTGAAGTCACACAACTAAAGGAGTCACCTAAAACATTTGCTAATTGTATAAATGTGTCTTTTCTTGTATGTCAATCCAAATTTAATAACAAGCTTCTGGAGGACAGGAACTCTACACCAGTAAGTTTCTAGGGGAGGCATTCTCCAATCCGCAGCAGCCAAAGCTGATTGCAGCCCCTCCTGGTGGTGACAAACCTACTTCTTTGATATGGATAGTTGACATTTTCTCAATTTTATGTGAAATGTCAATAAAAATGACTTTAGAAAACTACTACTTTAGGCACGGCGCCTGCAGCTCAAGCGGCTAAGGCGCCAGCCACCGACACCTAAGGTGGCAGGTTCGAATCCAGTCCGGGCCCGCCAAACAACAATAATGGCTGCAACCAAAAAATAACCCGGCATTGTGGCCGGCACCTACCTGGGAGGCTGAGGCAGGAGACTCGCTTGAGCCCAGGAGTTGGAGGTTGCTGTGAGCAGTGAAGCCATGGCACTCTACCCAGGGAGATAGCTTGAGGCTCTGCCTCAAAAAAAAAAAAAAAAAAAAGAAAGAAAGAAAAGAAAAAAGAAAACTACTACTTTTTTTTTTTTGAGACAGCACTGGCCTCGCAGCTCACAGTAACCTCCAGCTCTTGCATCAGCCTACGGAGTAGTTGGGACTACAGGTACCCACTACAACACTCGCTTTTTTTTTGTTGCAGTTTGGCTGGATTTGAACCCACCACCCTCGGCATATGGGGCCAGCACCTTACTGAGCCACAGGCATCCCCTGAAAACTGCTTTTTATTGACCTGTAACATAGTTGAATGTGAAAATAGTATGCTTTCTAGGTAAATGGGAACTTTAAGGCCCTTTAGACACCTCTCCACAACTAGATTGTCCCTCCTCAACTCCTCCTGTGTAAGAAACTAACCATGCAATCTCTTGTCCCCTCCCCTCTTGGCTTTCACAACACCCTACTTTATTGCCTTCCCAGGCTTTTATCTATCTCAGAGTATGTTGTTGATTTATTTATCTCTTTCTAGAAAAATGTACCCCAGGGTGGGGACCTTCTCTATCTTGTTAATTGCAGTATTCTGATGTGGTTTAGGTTCTCACTACCCTGTGAGTGATAAAAGACCCCTTACTTAAATATTTGTGGGTTATGTGCTTCGTATTTAATGCAAATTGGTAAAACTTTCTCATGTTTTTCTCCCATGCCCCCCCCATAACAATTTTTTTTTTTTCTGAGACAGAGCCTCAAGCTGTCCCCCTGGGTAGAGTGCTGTGGCATTACAGCTCACAGCAACCTCCAACTCCTGGGCTCAAGGGAGTCTCCTGCCTCCGCCTCCCCCTCCCAAGTAGCTGGGACCACAGGTGCCCACCAATGCCCGGCTATTTTTTGGTTGCAGCCGTCATTGTTGTTTGGCGGGTCGGGCTGGGGATTCGAACCCACCACCTTAGGTGTACGTGGCAGGCGCCTTAGCCGGTTGAGCTATAGGCGCCGAGCCCCCAATAACAATTTAAATGATACTATAGTCTCCCACCTACCCCTTCATCTCCAACCCAGTTCTCTTTCCTGGAGGGAAACAGTCCTAGCAATGTTTGTTTTGTTGTTCCTCAACTCCTACTTTGCCACCTGTCTGCTTCCCTAAACTGGGAGATCCTTGAAGTAGGCTGGGGCAAAGGGGCCAGGGTTCCAGATGGGAAAGGAAGAGTTCTTGGTTCACAGGTCACAGAAGATTGAATTTTTGGTACCCAAGTCATGCTACAGAATGGGAGTGGTAAATTGGAAACACATAAAATGACTGGGGAAAAAAAGGAATTTTTAAAAGGTTAAAATTCAGTGCTAGAGCCCCTTTCTCTATGAACCCTTTCCTTGACTTCCTCCATTCCTTGCTCCAGACTTCCCTGCTCCAGACTTTCCACCACACCCAGCATGGACTTACTTTGTTTACTTGTCTGGCTTCTCTCCTGCCCAAGGCTGGGACCTTGTTTTATTTGTCTTTAGAGCTCTGGCAGCCGGCATTATGCCTTGGTCCCTGAGAAAGTGCTTAATAAATGTTTCCAGATTGATTGAATGAAAATCTAGTGATCTTTAAAATACAAGTGCCAAAGGCCAGGCATGGAGGCTCATACCTGCAATTCTAGTACTCTGGGATGCCAAAGAGGGTGGATTGCTTGAGCTGAGGAGTTCAAGACCAGCTTTTTTTTTTTTTTTTTTTTAATGTGGCTGGCGCCTTGGCCACTGAGCTGTAGGCGCCTGGCCAGTTGAGCAGATTCTTTATTTTATTTTATTTATTTTGCAGTTTTTGGCCAGGACTGGGTTTGATCCCCACCTCCGGCATATGGGGCCAGAGCCCTACCCCTTTGAGCCACAGGCGCCACCCCAAGACCAGCTTGAGCAAAAGCGAAACCCCTCTCTACTACAAATAGAAAAACGAGTGGAATGTGGTGTGGAATCCTGCACCTGTAGTCTCAGCTACTCAGGAGGCTGAGGCAAGATCTCTTCAGCCCGGGAGTTTGAGGTTGCTGTGAGCTATGATGACTTTAGCCCATCAGAGTGAGACTCTGTCTCACAAGAAAAACTCAAGCCCTCCCTCCTCCAGCTAAGAACATGGCACAGTGTCAATGGTTTAACTGCAGCAACATCCTAACTGAAATTTTAAGTAACTTATGATTTTTTAAATTTCATGTTCCTCTGAATCCAGCACACTCTGTACTGGAGAGATGAGTTCCACCCACCTGCCCTAGGGCATATCTAATTCAAATTTCTACTTCCTTTCCCTACCCAGTGTTGTCTCTAACCATAACATTGCTAGGCAACTTTTGCAGAATCCACATGCCTGTGGTAATGTAATAGCTGAGTAAAAATCTTGCCTCTAGCTCTTGCAAGAACAAACCTAACCTGTTTATCCTCTTTAGACTCATGACTTAGCACGAAAGGGCTTTAATACCACTGTTGGCAGCCCTTTCACCTTCATTAGCAACAAAATAAGCAAGATTCTTGCCCTGAAGATTTAAAATTTAGATTCCTAAGTCATCCTCTGAAATGCTTCTAACATACACAGTTTAAAAATATGTGTTCATATTCCTATCAACATCAGCCCTTCCGAACTAGGAACTCTGGGGTGTAGGCTGCAGCAATGTTTCATAAGACTAGTCAGGCTTTACCCAAAGCTGAAACTCTTTAGTTTATGCTTTTGATCCTGAAGAAATAATCTGTTTCTTTACAACAGCCTAGTCTGATAGATTTCTAACTTTTAAAAAAGCCACATTGGTCACATGTCAATTTTTCACTTAAGCAAATGATATGCTAAAATAAGTTCAGCTGTCTTTCTCCAACTTCCTTATTCTCTTTCCCTTTCCACATGTTCTCTCAGCAAATCTCAACTTCACTTCACCCAGCCGTTACCAACCTTCTGGCTTTGAGAATCCAGATCTCACCTTAGAATGTGGTAAGACTGGTCCCATTTGACTTCCCAGGTATAGATTAGGTTCTTACACTTTGTCATTTGCCTTAATACTCTGTGATGGACGTAGTTATTTGATCATCCGCCAGCTCACCCTGAGAGTACAATATAATTAAACTCAATTCTTTCCCAATTGTTCAATTTATTAAATGTGAGACTAGCATTGTCCCCTGCAAACTGTGTTCAGTGTTATAAGTGTGCT